ATACATGTGTTTAATGTGGAATACCCACAATGGTGAGGAAATAGGGACATGGGGAGGGGCTGTCAAATGAGGGGAGATAGAACACTCGTATAAAGGGCTTAAGAGGAATATTGAAAAAGTAAGGATTAAATTGAGGTGGTGGAGAGGAGGGCAGAGTAGAAGAGGGAGTATGGGAAAGGATAAATCACTAAAGACTTTCGGAAAAGACACAGAAACCTAGTATTGTAGAAAATTTATATACACGTATAAAAAGAGTTAAAATGGTGTTTTCCCATATTAGAGTCAAAAATACTCTGACAAGACATATAATTTTTTTAAAAGCCCACATAGGAATGACTATTGCCTCCCACAGGTTGAAAGTAAGTCCCTGTTGCTAAAGATACCATGTACTTCAAACTCAAGACTCAGAAGATTCAAGCTGAGTCTGACTACCTTCTCTCTAGGGACTAGCTTCCATAGTACTAGAAGCTGATATGCAAGCTGCCAAGGGAAGGAACCAACCAAAAGTCCTACCCAGCCAGGATGCCTATGAACCAAAATTACCAGCACAGTAAGATACTTCTAATGGTTCAAAATTGGTACTCATATCTGGACAGTAACCAACAGGTCTCTAATTATACTTAAGGCTCACTCAAAGTAAAAGAAATCATGCTTGGTACTGGAACCCAGACAACTGCCCATACTTAGTGAGGTCATGGATCTTAGAGGAGAACATAACAATCATCACTTTACTAGACCAGTATACTTCTTAACTGCTTTATAAATGCATATTCTTATACCCACAAATAAATTTATTGAATTCCCCATCAAGGAAGCTTCTCTTTGCAGCAGGTGAGATCATTGCAGAAAAGCACAACTGATTAAAATGTAGAGGACAACAAATCATGGGGTACCCAGCCCTAATGAATACATCTGTAACATAATCCCTGTACCTGACGCTCACAGAACATTGCAAAAGAGAGGATGGTAGTTTTGTAAGAGTCCGAGACCAGAAAATCTGCTATGAGATTATAACTCTTAGAAATGACAGGATAGATACTGTGGTGAATTATAGTGTACCCAAATAAAATTTGCCTGAAGATCAGAGGACAGAACAAGCCACTAGATTAAACATAGAGGCCAGGCAGTGGTGGCACAAACCTTTAATCCCAGCACTTGGGAGGCAGAGATCCATCTGGATCTCTGTAAGTTCAAAGCCACCCTGGACTACATGAGATTGATTCAGTCTAAGAGAGAAACAGAGCCAGGCAGTGCTAGCACATACCTCAATCCCAGTACTTGAGAATCACATGCCTTTAATCCCAGCACTTGAGAACTCATGCCTCTGCTATCAGTATTGGGAAACACACACGCTTTTAATCCCAGCACTAGGACGGAAGTAACAAGGTTGGGTGGAGAAAAGTATATAAGGCATGAGGAGACAGGAATTTAAGCTTTTCAGCTGAGGAGCCTTTTCAGTTGGACCCTTTTTGGCTGATGACTCAGAGACATTCAGTCAGAGGATTTGTGGAGTTGGCAAGGTGAGAAGTGGCAATGGCTTATTCCTTTGTCTCTCTGATCTTTCAACATTTACCCCAACATCTGGCTCCGGTTTTTTATTATAAGACCTACTAGATTTTGTGCAACAAGATACACCCATGATACTGCAAAAATATGGCTACCTAAACCAGACCAGAGAAATGGCAACACCAATAAGCATGCTAACAGAAAAGGGGGAAATTTCACAGGTCCACCTTCCTACACAAAAAAACTACAGTCAACTCATGATGGCTGAAGGAGGAAGAATTAGTCTTCCTCAGTGATGAACCTCCTAATTAGTTATCCAATACCAAATGGTAAGCCCTTAAATCAAATCCATATAAGCAACACTTAACAGATTCCAAAGGTTATGTTTATGTATTTTATGAAATACATATATTATATATAAAACAATTGTATATTTACAAAAATAAAGAAAAAAAGGACATGAATTTGAGAAGTAGTAAGGGGATGGGAGACGTTATAGGGCAGGTACTTGGGAAAAGTTCAAGAGAGCAAAGTGAATAGGGAAAAAAGATATAATTATATTTTAATTCCTAAAATGTTCTTTTGAACTTTCTGAGCAGTACTTCATTTGCGAAGAAGTTATGGACAACAGTTGACATGTAGTGCTGTGGGATGGTCTGTATGTCAAATGTGTTGCTGATTGGTCAATGAATAAATCACTGATTGGTCAGTGGCCAGGCAGGAAGTATAGGCGGGACTAACAGAGAGGAAAATTGAGAGAACAGGAAGCTGGGTGAGAGAGACACTGCCAGCCGCCATCAGGACAAGGAAGATGTAAAGTACCGGTAAGCCACGAGCCATGTGGCAAGGTATAGATTTATGGAAATGGATTAATTTAAGCTGTAAGAACAGTTAGCAAGAAGCCTGCCATGGCCATACAGTTTGTAACCAATATAAGTCTCTATGTTTACTTGGTCGGGTCTGAGAGGCTGTGGGACTGGCGGGTGAGAGAGATTTGTCCTGACTGTGGGCCAGGCAGGAAAACTCTAGCTACAATGTAGGGTCTAATAAAACTAAAAACTTTCTTCAGAACTGAGGAAGCAATTAAGTGAAGAGGAAGCCCAGAGAAGGAAAGAGTCTTTGCCAGCTATCATCGGACAAAAGATTAATATTCAGAATATTATAAAGAACTCAAAAAAGAAAAAAAAGACCCATTCAAATCTGAATGCAAAGTTCTCCGAAGAAGACTATAAGTGGCTAAGAAGTATCTCAAAAAGTGTTCAGCATCCTTAGCAAGTCAGGAAATGCAAATCAAAACAAATTTGAGATTTCATCTTACCACAGTCAGAATGCAAAGATCAAGAAAACAACCAGCAGGAAATGCTAAGGAGGATGTGGAGGAAGGGGAAGACTCACTCACTGTTGGTAGAATTACAAACTGGCACAGCTACTCTGGAAATTAATACAAGGAATCCTCAAAAAGCTAAAAACAAATCTATCGTACTATACTACTCCCTGGCATATGCTCAAAGGACTCAACAGAAGTAATACTTCTTCAGCTATGTTCATCACTGCTCTCTCTAATCACAATAGCTAGGAATGGCAACAGTCCAAATGTCCTTCAACTGATGAATGAGTAATGAAAGGTGGTACACACACACTATGAACTATATTCAGCTGTAAGGAAAAATTAAATCATGAAATTTGTAAGTAAATGGATGGAACTAGGAAAAATATTACATAGACAGAGGAACACACATAAGAAAGACAAATGTCACATGTTTTCTCTTATATATGATTCCTAGCTCCAAAATCGTCAGATGTGAGTATACAACCTGAAGTAACCACAGAAACCAGGAAAGTCAAAAGGTACCATAGTGAAGAAGGCATTAGAGGAGGAAACAGCAGAATGGTACAGATACTGAAGGGGAAGTAGGGAATATGGGATATTAGTAAGGGAAATGGAAAGATGGTCAATACAAAAGGAGAGGGAGAGAGGACTGAAAGTAGGAATAAGAATGTTTGAAAAATCCATAAAGAATCATATTTTTATTTACCTAAAATTACATTAAATACATATAAGTTTATGTGTGTGTGTGTGTGTGTGTGTGTGTGTGTGTATTTGTGTGTGTGTGTGTGTGTGTGTGTGTGTGTGTGTGTGTGTGTGTGTGTGTGTGTATGGGTACTGTGGTAAAGTGGGTATGAGGGAGAAGAGCAGGTAAGGAAAATAAAATAAAATAAAGTATGTATGAAAATGAAAATGAAACGTGTTGCTTTTTAAGATAACTAGAAAATAAAGTTTAAAAATTGTAAGGCTGAGCATACACTATGTGGCTACCCTATCAAAATGTACTACAGTTCACCAATGGAACCACAGAAGTCCTTCACCTTAGTAGTTTTTCATTCATTTTAACACTTGGGTAAGAACTGATAGGTCCCAAATGTTTTCACATAATCCCAACTGAGTTCAGTACCTTTAAATAAAAGCACTAACAATAATGATATCTTTACCAAATGAGAGCCTAGGGATCGAACAAAGAGAGCTATGTCCATGCTCTGTTCTCTCAATGAACAAAAAGAAAATCGAGCCCTGCCTTATTTTAAGGAAGGGCTACATACATTTTTTTGTGACTAAAAATGAAACATCAGAAGACAGAAGTACAAAGGGCTTTGTATCTTAAGGCATTAAACCTCATAGCTGCTTTGAATTAAATATAACATTTTAAAGAGGTCACTCTGCCTCAGTTTACCCTATCAGTGCAGCGATCTGCCTAGTGTTAACTAAAGAAAGTAACTCAGGGGAGAAATATGTGCTGTAAAAGGAGTTTTAAGCTTACCAAGCCCGTTTGTTTTGAAATGGATGCCTTTTAGTTTTTATCTACTAGGCTTTCATACTATGCTTTTTTGTGTGTGCTCATGTCATTTTCCTCCAAAAGTCTTTGCTCTGATCTAATTAAACACATTTGGACATCTATGTTCTTTTAGAAACCCCATAACATACTATCAATTGGGAGGGACTATAGCATCAAATAATTCAAACTGTAACACATATGGCAAGTCAGACACAACTATTTCTGTCACTTTAAGTAACAAATTTTCAAATACATGACTACTTAAAATATTCTACATGGAAAAAAAACGTATCTCCTAGGTATATTTACTAAATGCAGGCACTCTGGCAGAAACAGTCATCTACAGTCAGCCATTCTCTTTCATGGAAGAAACATTCCTAAAGTCACACATAGGTGATTATGCTTGAATAAATAAATGAATAAAAAGATATGAAAAAGGGGGTCATCACATGATATTAATAAAAAAGCTTGCTATTTTCCATGAAATCAAGTTGATATTTAAGCTTCAGTTCCTTTACAATAACCACACTTAAGCTTTATTTTAATAAGTCATTCACTTTCTACTGTTTCTTTCCAAAATTCATTCAAGTTTAACTTAATAAAGAATAATTTATTTCTGGCATATATAAGAGAAATAAGTAAGAATATTCTAAGAAAACCTACCTCGGGCCCTGTAATGTGCATCAGACCAGACATAGCAGAAGCGATAGCATCGTACCCTGCTCTCTGAGACAAGGGCCCTGTCTGGCCGTACCCTGCAACAAGAACAGACATCCAGTGCTACATGGGGTGTGAGAGTGTGCTAAAACCATTCCCCTCCAGAAAGTGTGCAGCATTGTTCCAATTAGATCTGTACAACCCCTTGATAGAGACAGTAAAAATTAATCAGTGTGTTATACTATGGACAACAAAAACCTGTTGAATTACTGGCCCCCTTATACCTTCAGGAGTGTTTTGTTTGGCCTTTAGAACATTGTGAAATGATTTTATTTAGTTGGCAACAATTTTTAAAAAATAAAATAAAAAAAGATAGCCCACAAGACACAATCTCTAGCCAGGTGGTAGTGGCGTATGCCTTTAATCCCAGCACTCAAGGCAAAGGAGGGCAGATCTCTGAGTTCAAGGCCAGCCTGGTCCCACAGATCGAGTTCCAGGGCTATGAGGAGAAACCAAGAAAAAAAAAAGATAATTTTTGGCTTTTTTTAAAAAAGAAAAAAGAAAAGATAGCCAATGTTAGTCCATATTCCCCATGGCAGCAAACCAAGTTGAGTAACAGCGCCCTTTACATGGGCACAAACTGCACCTGCCTGTCTTCCCCTTCCCTCCATGGGCCTCCACCTCCACCACTTCTTTCTCAGCTCCAAGGTCTCACTAGACACTACCTGCTCTTCTTCTGTGGGACAGTCCACAAGTGAAGCAACGTGCATTTCCCTGATTATGTTTACACAGGTTTTCAACTAAGCAAATAAATCATAAGTGACAAACTTTAAACCTGGACATATTTTAGGAATGTTGGTGCAGTGCACATCTGTAATCCTAACACTCGGGAGGCTGAGGAAGACCCAGAGATTGAGGTTAGCCTGAACTACATTGCTAGTCCCTGTCTCAAAAGACAATAGTCATAAATAAAACAATCTCATAACCTAACAGTGTTATTTTAAATACAACATATTTTTTCTTTCTGACTTTTTTGTTCAGAAGGGAAGACAAAAATCAAGAGAACACGAGTAATCATTTCTCCTACTTTTCCTGTCTTGGTTCTTACTGTTTAATCCTAAAGGTTATATCAGAAGCTGTAGGAGTCTATCTCCAAATCCCATTTATTATCGAGAGAATGGACAAATGAAGAGCTTTGCTGACATCTCTATGTACATACCCTACCTTTGTAAGCATCTAGAAAGGGTCTCCTGGGGATTTGCCTCATCAGACATCAGGAGAGTACCCTGTTTCACAGCCTCCTTCCCTCCCTCCAGTCCTCTACTTTAATGTTCCCCTAGCAAAAAAAAAAAAAAAAAAAAAAAAAAAAAAAAACCAGCTCCCTTAATGGCCCTTTGTAGAAGACAGCCTACATCACATCTTTAATTCCCTTTATGCAATTTATGTTCATAGCTCTTAACCTCAAAGATGTGTAATATACTTGTTTATTTTTTTTGTTGTTTTTTTTTTTTTGTTGTTGTTTTTTTTTTTTTTTTGGTTTTTCGAGACAGGGTTTCTCTGTGTAGCTTTGCGCCTTTTCTGGGACTCACTTGGCAGCCCAGGCTGGCCTCGAACTCACAGAGATCCGCCTGCCTCTGCCTCCCGAGTGCTGGGATTAAAGGCGTGCGCCACCACCGCCCGGCTAATATACTTGTTTATTAATTACAGTTGTTTCCTTCATGCTGAGATGTAACCTCTGGGAATGTTTTCTGTTTGATTGACTGCTGTATCCTCAGCCTGTAGTATAATGTTTGATGACACTTAGTGGAGGAATAAACACTTGTTACTCAAAAACAATCAGTTTTTCGAGATCAATCCATAAACTAAATGAAGAAGCAAAAGAAATGAGTCTAGCCATCAGTTAATCTACCCAGACATATTTGCTACCATAAATGGTCTCTGTTAGAAATGAAAGTGTATAAAAATCCTCACATGAGACATGAGGTAATATTAAGATATTAAATAGTTAAAGATTAAAAGATATTTGTCTCTTCGTTTGTTTGTGTTTCTGAGTCTTAAGACAAGAACTTACTCTATAGCCCCGGAGACCGTGAACTCTCAGCTTTCCCGCCTCAACACTTCCCTAAGTGCAGGGACTACAGGTGTGTACCAACAGGCTTGGTTGATATCCCTCACCACTGATGACAGAAAATGCACCATATGTCTCCTTGTGTTTTATTATGCAAATTTTCAAACAAAAATAGAGCAAATGTGTAATAAGCCTATCATCTAATTTCAATCATCACTTATTTATAGACAATCTTCTTTCCAGTATATTTATCTTCCAGTTACAACTACTGTATGAAAAAAAACACAATTTAAAAAAAAAAAACTTGAATGTTCTGGCTCAGGTTAAAAAAAAGTTTTCTCTTAATTTCAAAAACAAAGCTTATGATTTCTAAACTATTACTCTTTAGATCTTTAAAAAGTGTGGGAGGACTATGAAGAGATCCTAATTTAAAAAAAAAAGCAATGAAGTACAAGTCAGCAGTCTCCATGCAGAAGTCTGGGAAGTTCCTCCCAGCTTGAGTGAATGGATTTCAGCACAGCTAGTTTGCATCTGTAAGTGGTGCAGTGGAGCAGGCTCAGTCTTCCCTGCAATGCCATTCCCAGCCCAGAACAGCATCTCAACAGGAACAGCATCTCAACAGGAGTCTCAAGAAGGATGAGGTTTCAATGAGCTCAACCATAGGAAAATCCTCAAATGAGAGTAACTAAGGCCTCTCACCATCAGCACAACTCTAAATGGAATCTTCTAGATGATCCTAAAGAGAAATAGACTCAGGAGAAAATCAAGTAGCTTATAAAATAAAAGTGCATCACAATGGTTGCCTTGTGATATAAACTCTTTTTGTTCAGAGCATGAGTGAAGCACAAATACCCTAATGACTTTGAATTGTCATTTCCAAGTGTTTCTAGTAAAGAAATACATAAATAGTTACATTGGAGACAGTAGGCACAATGAAAAAGAGTAAGCTTTAGACTTGAAAAAAAATCCAGATTCAAATTACGGTTCTGCAAACTATTAAATCATCAGAAATTCATTTATTTTCCCTGAGCCTCAATGATAGTATTAACATTCATGTCACACATTTACTGTCAAAATTCAACTTGACTGCACAGCATAAGCAAAGTGAATTTCACATTGAACATTAAAAAATATCATTAATCAATAAATATATATTAACTCACCAATAATACATTAGCTTACATTCTTCCATACCATATTTAGAACAGCATAAGAAAAGCTACTTTTAGGTAAGTCAAAGTAATGAGAATAGAAATCCTAAATATTTAAATTAAGTTGTCTGACATCCATAAAAAATAGAAAACTTTTTTACAGTTAGAACTTAACACTTGCTCTTTGGACAAAAGAATGTGGCAATAATAATATCATATAATAAAGCTGAGTATGGCGGTACACATCTTTTATTCCAGCAATTGGGAGGCAGAGGTAGGTCAATCTCTGTGAGCTTGAGGCTAGCCTGGCCTACAAGTAAGTTCCTAAACAGCCAAGGCTACATAGAGAGACTCTGTCTCAAAAAAACAAACAAAAATAGTAATATACATGTGTGTATATACATGTATGTGTATGAACCAAAATATTATTCTGTCTTTTCACTTAATACTTAACTATTATAAATGCTATTAATAATAACAGCAGTATTGACCATTAGATTTCTCTGTTGGTAATGTGAAAACTGTAATTATCTGTTGAAAAATTCAATAAATATCTGAAAATATCTGAGTATGAAATCCAAATATTTGGGGTTTTTTTGTTTTATTTTTATCTTTACAGTTTCAAAACCAACTGTGCTTATGATCCAAAGTGAACAGGGGAAAAAAATCTATCAGTTCTTTTTCAGTTGAAATTAAGGAGGTAAAGAAAATTAAGACAGTTGTAGAAAGTTCTCCCTCTCCTCTCTCTGTCTCTCTCTCTCTGTCTCTGTCTCTCTCTGTGTCTCTCTGTCTCTGTCTCTCTGTGTCTCTCTCTGTGTCTCTCTCTCCTCCCCCCCACCCCTCTCTCTCTCCCTCTCTCTCTCTCTCTCTCTCTCTCTCTCTCTCTCTCTCTCTCTCTCTCTCTCTCTCTCTCTGCCTCCCCCACTTACTTTCACTGTGAGGAACAAGCTCGCCATCTCGTGGCTTCTATGAACACTAACTATAAAGTAAAGCTTTTACACTAAGAATGTGAGTAAAGTATGGTCCTAGTTTCGTTTACTTTTCTTCTTAATAGTGCCTCACTCCATGTCTTCCTTCTCTCCTTCACAATCTTAGAAAGCAGCACTAACATGGGCACTCATGCTCTCTCTGTGACATCTCACAGTGTCAATATCCTCTCTACCAATGCTAACACCCTGGAGAGTTGCAAATCCCTCTAACAAACTGATAAGAGGCTCTGCACACACCCCAGAAGAATGTAACTGAATAAATGCTGCTCACAGAACCCATTCCTGCACTGTGTTGGGTTAGGCTCAGCATCTAAGTAACACTCCGTGCTTATATACACCTGCTCCAAATCCAGCTTTCCTGATAGAGATCAGCTTGAGGGCAGCTTGAGGCTTCTAAGTAACCAAGAGCTTCAGAATGGGGATCTAGCCTGATGATAATAAAAGGGAAGAGGACAAAATAAAGCATCACTCATCTAGGTGATTTCATTAGCCTCTTACTTTCAGTCCCTTGCCTTATTCTTGCTATGAAGATCACAACGATCTTTATAAAACTTAGGGAGTACACTACTACAAGAAAAGGCAGTACATGCCTGCAATCCAAGAATCTGGAGGCTGAGGCGGTAGGAAAAGCAAGGCATTGTCAACCTCTATATCTAAATGGGTAATGACACTGTTAGGAATTTGTAAATTAGATCATTTATTTCACACAAAAATCCTAGAAGTTAGGTAGTGTCATTCCCATTTTTATTAAAAGAAAACGGACAATTTAAGTCACTTGCTTATGAGCACACGCATAGGAAGTACTATAGCAGAACTGAGGTCTGGACTCAAATATGTGTCCTTAAATATAAAGATGTCTATGTGTATTGGTGTCTGCACTGACAGCTCCA